GATCTGTAAGCTTTTGTCTGAGCTCGAACTAAGTCGTAACTTGATATTGCACCACAGATGAAACGATCGATCTCGAGCAGAATTGGGCTTCCAATCCACTATATAGCATGGAGCGTGGTATGGTCCACACCAGCAGGCCTGAGATTGCCATGTGAAAAGGTTCCTTTGCGAAGGAGATGCCATGACTGTAACGAAGGAAGATATTGATAATACCTGAAAGTATCAAGTTTTTTGGTATCTCGGATTTAACGAATTATGAACTTCTTAAATGAACCGCTGGTATCTCGTATCTTCTGACTAAAGACAGTGAACCCTACCAAGGCCAAAACGAGATACGATGATCCTGGGATTGAGATTTTTGGATTTCGGAGCATCTAGTGCATAGAATGTCCAGGGAGGCATATCCCGTTTGTTAAGAGGGTATATGTAGATGCGCTAGCATGCCGCTCTTTCTCCTTTCTGGGTCCCACTTCTTTATTACACTTACCAGGGAGGAGAAGTCTAATTAATGTGGGACTTTGAATGGAGACACAGATAGATCGACAGACTTTGAATGGAGACACAGATAGATCGACAGAGTTTTTAATGCTGTCTTCGAAAATGGAAATTAAAACTACAAAATGATTTTCCTCAAGATGTTATGGGGCTCGAAACTTGCTTGACAGTAGCATCAATTGGATATGCGAGCTCGTCGCTTTATTATCAAGCGCCAACGTGGCCTAGTGGTAGTGGTCTCGCTTCATAGGCAAGAGATGCGAGTCTACTCCCCGCCATTGTCGGCATTCTCTCAAAGTATTTTCACAATTCATTAGAGGCTCTCTATATCTTTACTGACATTTGTTTAAGTGAACACCTTAATTCTGCTTTTATTTTCTCTCTTCGCCCCAATCCAAGGAAGAATGATCCTGCACCTTGATTGTGTGACTCTATTTCATTTTCGACTTCAAGAAACATTTAACAGCAAGGTGCCAGAGGTGTATAAGATGCTTGTGAGGAGCTCAGCATCAATAGGAAAAGCTGAAAAAAGTGTATGCAGCACATAGGTTGTTCACAAACTGCACACCTTATGATGATATGATGCTCCTCTACAACCATAGACAAAATAGTCATCTCTGCCAAGGTGAAACAAACACCCGCCAAGTGTGATACATGATTCTGGGTTGTCAACAATCCAGAATTTCATCAGACTTGAAAAATCTTCAAAGCTCCAAATCTAGAGGTCGGAGCGGGAATGCTCTTGGTGCAAGAGAGGGTATGTTGCTGGGATCCCAGAGAGACACTCACACTTGACGGGTGTCTGTAAAATCTCGAGACAATTTTGTCTCCGGTGTAGAGGAGCATCATAAGATGTGCGGTTTGTGAACAACATACGTGATGCAAACACTTTTTTTCAGCTTTTTCTGTTGATGCTGAGCTCCTCACAAGCACCTGATACATCTCTGGCACCTTGCTGTTAAATGTTTCTCCGAGTCGGAAATGAAATAGAGTCACACAATCAAGAAATCAAGGTGCAGAACCATTCCTCCTTGGACGAGGGCGACGAGAGAAACTGAAAGCAGAAATAAGGCGTTCACTTGAACAAATGTCAGAAAAGGTATAGAGAGCCTTTAATGAAATGAGAAAACCACTTTGCAAAAATGCCGACTATGACGGGGAGCATACGGTAGGGTTTGTCGTTTGCTCGGAGGAATGTGTTAATTTCTTCTGGTCCAGTGTTTACTCCACTTCGAAAAGGGTCGATCTTGTCTGGTGGATTGGCGACAGTTTTCTCGATTGGCTGTTTGGTCGGCATGGAAGCCGACCAATTTCAAGTCCTGCAATGTGACAAGGAAACACCGCTGATGACGCCTCTGTAAGGTCGATTTCTGGGCGTCGAATCTGAGTTTAGGCCGATTTCTGAGAGTCAAGGCTGAGTGGTATGTCACAAACTTTGTTTATACCCTCGCAAAGGACACGGCCGCACTATCGGCAACGAGCTGCGTGCATTTTATCAGCAATAGGTGGTGCTTCAGAGTGCTTACTTATTGCATTGCTGCGAATATGGTCAGGAGGTGTGACCACATTTGTTCAGCGTGGTTTTTCTTCCCCGGAAGCATGACTCAATTTTTCTGGCGACGGACACTACACCGCACCATACGTCGCATTGGTCGTACAACGGCATTGTACATGCTTGATGCAATCTGGTTTTTTCTCATGGCAGAAAACGCCAGTCATCGGGCACCAAACGCGTTCCAGACAAGCGGCACCCAAACACAAATCTATTTCAGAGGCAAGACTGCAATCAAAGACGGTGAGCAGGATGCTTGAAGACAGACCTACGCGTGAGCTTGACGCAATCGATCTTCGTAGATTCTATGGTCTTGCCCTCCATTTTTCCAACGTTCAACCAATATCCAAACATAGCCAAGCCGTCGAAGTAGACCAAGCCTATACCTGTTGCTCAAGCAGCTCTTCTTCTCCGCAGACGAGCATTACGTTGTGAGCAGAAACAAGCCTCCGCGGCGCTAGGCTTTGAAGACCTCGTGTGTTGGCATTACGACGAATACGAATAATAATTGGTAGAGCAGAGCAGAGCCATAGTGTACCTAAATGGAGAAAGGGATTCAGACTCGTCACTCTTTGTGCTCGGGAGGACGGATTTGAGGAAAGTATGCGCACCCACTCAATAGGCTATTCAGGGACCATGTGCCGTCGCAAGGCATTTCATATAACTAACGCGACCAGCGAACGAAGGCCTACAAATTTTCTTTCGACAGGTCCACTGATACGATACCCACCCCGATTGTAAAAAAATCACGGACACAACGCGAGGTTGCGTCTTTTTCGTTTCTTTCTTGATAACTGGATTAATTTTCTCAGGCTTTCCTCTCCAGTATGGGATATATTCAGCGACCTATCACACTGTGGTCCGAGAAATTCGTAGAAGGATTGGAAGTTAGGATAGAGTCGCGAATATTCCCTCAGCACCAGTACTGATCTCTTCCGATTCGCGACCAAGTGGTTCGCAGTTTTCGAATAACAGAGAAAAAACTTTGGCCCTCAGCTGCATCCTTTCAGATAACCCTTCTCAAAGGGAATCGGTTAATTTTGTACTCTTCTCGGTGGTATCGCTCTGATGGTAGAGATTCTAGCCCAAACCATCATGAAAGAGGGAAAATGGCTGCGAGAAGCGATTTGGCTTTCCTTACCGGCTTCAGCACTCATAGTGTGAAATTTAAATATACTCTGGGATCTCAACATTTCTTCTACGCTGAACATCTTTTAGTCAGAAAAAAGTGCCAAGTAGCGCACAGCCTTTGTTCTTTCTCTCCAAATTCTTTTCGTCAGCAAGCTTGTGAGGCTTACGAGTCCTACCTGGATGCAGCTGTATTTACTCGGGGCAGACCCTTCTCATTGGAATAGAACACACGAACGAATCAGCAGTCATCTTTTTCCGTGTTTCTGCAAGTTACGCATCGTACTCCTTCCCGGCAATTCTATCCGGGAAAGGGGTCGTATTTGAGACGAGACCACCACTTCGAAGTTTGTCGTTGACCTGTCAACGCATCGCGATTCAAGAGGCTATCATGTGGGAAATGCTGAACCAGGAGCGATCCCGGAAAAGGCCTCACCAAATGCGTACAAAGGTGGAACGGTTGGTGGATCTTTGCGAGGCTCCACCGTTTTCGAAATCGGACGAATTGAGAGTACCAAGGTAGATATGTGGGCTACGGCATATGCGTTTTTCTGTGATTTTTCAAACATTCGGGGCAGGTTTGTATCAATCAACTTTTTGAAAAGAAATTCGTGAAAGCCGCTCTCCTTGCTTTTCTTTTCGCTGACAATATCCGCCCGCAGCTAGTCAATTTTCCGCGTCCTTTGTCTGAAGTAGCTCGAGGCGAGCAACCACGGTTATTGCTTCACCAGCACCTTCACAAGTTTCCTTGACAGTTGTGATTAACTTCGAATAGTTTCAGCCGCTTTCTTTTACTCTAATCGTCATCACTATTTCTCGCAGGACCACTTCGTTCAAGGTGTTTCTGTTTGGGTGGAGCGATATTATGCGTGCACATCATTGACTCATGTTGCGGGACGACCGTTTAGCCGCTGTAGAAAGTGTTTCCGTAACTTTTTATTCACTATGGTGAGGCCATACGAATAAACGTATTCAGGATTCGCCCACCATCATAGTAGCCTACATATCCAATCCCAACGCGACCCACGCCAACATAACAGTGTTGCCCCTCAGGCCACCTAACAATCGCAGCTTTCTGTAGTGGCACCAGCTGCCTTCTCGTCAAGCAAAGTCTAAAACTTTATTAGTTCTGAGCAGCCAGTCTGTTTAGCATAAACAAAGAAAATGTGATATAGTAAAAAACTAAAAACTGATCCAAAATTGGCAAAAATTCTAATTAAACGTTTACTGAAGCATTTCGCTCATAATTCGACAACGCTCAAAAATATCGAAACCGAAACCGTAATTGGTTTTGTTGCCGCGGCTAACGTCCTACAACTTGCAGCAGGACTATCTCCTCTCTTTACGTCACTGTACATACAGAAATCTATTCGACTACTCTCCGGAGCATCTACAAGCTAGCAGCAGATGCCTATTGGCGAACCAAAACTCAGAGTTGCAAAAGTCTAGACTAGCATAGCTGCTCCCAATGTCGTCTTGGCACCGAAAGCTCCTGCATACTTTTCGAACAAGCCGGGCTTTGCGTGTGGTTCCAGCTGACGTTATAGCATTTCGAATTCTGAGACGGTCATTATACGTCGTTAAGCAGTTGGATGTGATGGGGTGTCCGTAGGCTAGCATCTCACCTGCATTCGAGAGTCTTCGTTCAAATGAGACCGCCCTAAGAACCACCTCTCAATGGCATCCGATGGAGGCGAGAACAATACGTCTACCGATCGTAACCAAAACAACAGAAAGATGCTGTTAAAAATTTAGTTTGGTGGCGGCTTGCATCCAATTCCTACTATTACCCGAGTAACAATGCACCAATCTTGAAAAATTTCAGGTGCCGTGCGCTATTCTATGTCTCTGAGGTGGACATGTTGAAAGCAATGCGTTACGCTTTGTTCCGTGAAAGTACTCGAACAGGTATGCCGTTGTCCGGGACCAATCTGACTGCTCTTCATGGCTTCGTTAGTCTGCTTGCCGATCACTTCCCCGTCATGACCACTTACGGCAGTAAGGTGAGTTGTCTGATAGATCCATCTGCAAAACCATTCCGTCCAAGGCCATTAGGTTGAACATAAAGAGTTCGAATTCGCTAAGCAACTTATTTTGACCTGTATATTCCCTTTGCTTTGCACTAACAACTGAGGCTTTGAGAGTGAGAGTCACAGCCATGTTTCTTTGTTTTCCCTTACTATTAGAACACAATTACCAAATGAGCTTACGTACTGGGTGAAAGCTGTAAATAACTTCTGCTGCTGACTGGTCAGCATGGAGAAACCACCTTCCTGGTTCCGACAGGAGGCGCGCACACCCAGAATTACCACATAAAATGATGAAACCAGAGAAGTTACGCATTCAACGAGGAAAACGGCAATAGCACCATTCCTGGGCCTTAACTCAACCAATGAGCTCACTGGTTGATAATTATCTAGCTACATTGTTATTATGTAAAGCATTCGTTAACTTTTGACATTCTTTATGCCACTCCATTGAAATCGAAAGCCGCGTGGGGATCGGATGGGCCCTAAGGGCAGTGGTTGATGGCAAATGTGTTCAAAGTCAGTTGTGTTTTGTAGCTAAGGGAGTGTCTAAAGTTCTCAATTGGTTTGAGACAAGAGACGAGATTTTGGGGGAACCTCAAAGGCATAATTACCGTCAAAAATGGTTTCGGTCAAGATAGTTCGTAATAAGGGTCTCAGGATTGGCTCAGGCGGCGTACAGACCTAAGGCGTTGTGAAAGCGTCGGGGTTCCATTGTTCGCACCGTGATTCACACCTTGCACGCAGGCAGGTTGCTGCAACCAGCTTTATGCAATGGCGCACCTTCAAATAGCCCGTTCAAATACTCTCTCCAAATAGTCCCTGACGCAACTTCTGTCGCCCCATTCTTGTCCTACTCCTTATTTTACTTTTTTTTGGAGCCTCACGTTTCTCCGGATAGACCCTTTCTCGCGTTTTGTTCGCATTCTTTGCGCTATTCTGAACACCACAGAAGGGCTATTTGTAAAAATCAGAATCAGCTGCCGAAGAAGAATGTGGCACATCACAAGCTCTAGAAAGAGATGAATTTTCTAATAACAGCTTCACCTTTCAGGAATCTGGCTCCAAGCTGTGGTGGGTAATGAGATAATGAGTAAATTCGATAAGAACGCTCCGCTCAGCGTGGTTGAGTCTCCTTCTCTGTTGTGTCCACCTATTCCTAACCTTTGCCCCCCGTATCGGAGCTTTTCTGGAATAAAATCGCGAATTTTTTCCCATTGCGCCGCTCTGCCCTCTTTGGGCAGAGTTCCTCTATGCCATATTTCGATCTTGGCCGGGGCCCCATTCATCCCAAATCTGACTCCCAATTCCCCAGGTGCCTCTTCAGGTAATATCGAATTTCGTGACAGACACAGAGACAGACGGGTTATAAATAGTAGACCGTTGAAACAGCAGAACTTGTTCATGACAGCCATAAGAAGCCTAGTATGAACTCTGTTGGCCTGTCGAGCGAAAGCCGTGCAGCGAGACACACCGTAGTAGAAAAGATTGCTGCCAAACTTCAAATACAGCATAAAGCACTGCAGATGAAGTGCAAGTAGGAACGAATTCATACAAGAAAGAACACGCCAAAAGTGTGGAAATAAGTCACTCGACCTAGATCATCCTTCTACTATGCATACATACATAGTTCAGGCTATAGTTTTGCGGTACCAGCTCAAAGTGGTTGACAACGTCATAAGTGTTCCTCGTGTTCTTTCACCTGCAATCCGGACGGACGTTCAGACTTACGCGTGACTATGGTATTAGGTCGTGAAGAAAGTTCTTGCGTTTCGTGACGCCCAGTTTTCAAATGCTCGCCGCGGTGTTATTTGTTATTAGATTGTTTGCAACTTCAGAGCCTTCTGAAGCGCAATTCTTGCTCTATCCAAATATATAATCGGTTTTGTACTGGAGTTATTCCTGGGGTTTTTTAGAAGGTCGAAATCAGCATGGACAAACGACAGGAGTGCGACGGAAACGGCCCGGGATATCAACGATATCTTTGGTCCAGGTACGAAGAAACAACGTACAGCACAGTGGTGGTTTAACAACTTTCGCACCGGTGATGAGAGATGAGAGCCTGAAAGATGATGAGCGTAGTGGGCGGCCATCCGCTGTTGACAACGAATAATTGAGAACATTAGTGGAAGAAAATCCACGTACAACGCTGAAGGGTATTGGCTCGAGATTAATAGTTCCCAGCGGGACAGTTGTCACCCACATGCAGCAGATCGGAAAGTCGAAAAAGCTTGATAAGTGGGTGCCGCATGAGTCGACTCAGCACCAGAAAGACCGCCGCTTCAAGCTCGCCTCCGCCTTGCTTCTGCGCAACAGGAACGATCCATTTTCAGACTGTATTGTGACATGTGATGAGAAATGGATTCTGTACGACAATCGGCGACGATCAGGCCAGTGGCTAGACAAGGGTCAAGCCCCACGACATTTTCCCAAGCCGAAGCAGCATGGAAAGAAGGTCATGGTGCTGGTTTGGTGGTTTGCAGCCGGGCTGATCCACCACAACTTCATGGATCCGGGTGAAACCGTAACAGCCGAGAAGTACTGTCAAGAAAATGACGAAATGCATCGAAAACTCTAACTCATGAGCCCGGCACTGGTGAATAGGAAGGGGCCAATTCTACTTCACGACAACGCTCGGCCCCACGTCGCACAACTTACCCTGAGAGAATTGATGGAGCTAGGCTATGAAACTCTCCAGCATCCACCATATTCCCCAGACCTTGCTTTCACATTCTACCGTTTCTTTGAGCATCTCGACGGCCTTTTTCAGGAAGAAATGCTTCAAAACACATCATGATGCTGCCGCTGCATTCGACGATTTCATCGCCTCTAGATCTCCGGACTTCTATGCGAATGGGATAAACAAAGTTGCTTCTCGTTGGCGAAAGTGTGTCAATAATAATGGTTGTTATTTCGATTTATGAAGTTTTGTTTAAGCCGAGATATGTGCATTTGAAGTTTGGGGCGCAAAAACGCAAGAACTTTCTTCACGAAATAATATTATAACGCACGCTTTGGTGTCGAAAGCTCTATTCGGGACACTGGAACTTTAGTAATGATCAAAGTTCCATAGCGTTCATTTTCCGTTGGTATCGCTTTATATGGAGTTGCGTCATCACCGCACCGTCGCTTCCTTGAAGGGCGTCTCTGAACTCTAACCAACAGGATTTTACAAAAATCGCCACCACTGGACTACTTTCTTGAATCCGCAGTATTTTACCGCAGAAATTTACAGACATTATTGGATCGGTCGACACAAGCTGTCAAGGTGTTCGCTCGCCTGAGGGATTTTATTGAGAATCGAGGATTGGATAGCTGGATTTCGACTGACGACTGGCAAAAAGAGTTCATTGCAGCTGAGGTAAGTGTGCAATTACCGAAATCTTCACTAGTCAGAGATGAAGAGTGTGCGATACAGTAAATAATAAAGCGGAGCAGCGATTGCGGTGAAATAATCATCTACTGAAAAGGCAACCATGATCAAGAAGATGAAGGACTGGATTAGGACGAACAAGAAGAACAAGAAAGGAGGAACAAGAAGAAGAACTAGGAGAAGAACAGGAACAATATGAAGCAGGGGACGAGCTTTTTGATCTTTTTTGTTCTTGTTCTTGTTCTTCTAGTTCAGGAAAACTGAGATCAAGAAATCAGAGATCAGAGAACTTTGCCTCTAAAATCTTTCACGTCGCACTACTGCAATAGTTATGTTCTGATTATGGTTCATACCTGATTGCAGTGGTTTTCAGGAAGCTGCAAATAATCCGTTTGCAGTTAATTCTGACTGGGATCACTGTCGTGGATCAAGTGGTCAGTTTCGCGGCTACACCTGTGGCCTATGGATTTCTTTCCATGCGCTGACAGTATCCGCCTACAAACAGGCTGAAGATCACTGTGGGTTAATCGCTGAGACGAGCGCTACGATATTCACCGATATATATATAATATATACGTAGGCTGCCTTTTATATTTCGGGATTTGAGAGCAGGAACAAATACTATTTGTTGAAAATCGCTTGACTGCCTTTTAAAAATCTCCACATTAAGATCTATACACTTTTGTATGGGCTCGAACCAATTTTCGAAGCACTTTTGCCACTCTGATGTAGGTAACTCTAAAACATGGGTTCTGAACTCATCAACGGCTTCTTCGGGTGTCGAAAAAAGTTGTCCTCTCATTTTATTTCTTAAGTACGGGATGAGAAGAAGTCACCCGGGGACTACATGGCTGATGACCTGCCAAATCGTTGTTTTGAGTGCTCAAAAATGCGGTTGTTTGAGCTGATGTGTCGGAGCTCGCATTGACGTGGCGTGGGATCCAACGCCAACAAATTTTTTCACACTCAAATGTTCATGCAAAAATGAATGTAAGCTAGTCCCACTAATGCTTAAGGTTGCCTCAATCTCACGATAGGTTACATGACGATCTCGCAGTATTAGTTTGTGCACAGCATGAACTGTTACCGGAACGACAACTGATTTTGGACGACCTCAACGAAATTCGTCTTCGTGTGAACTACGACCTCGGGTGAACTCACTGTACCATCGATGAACACTGATCCTGGATGGAGCTTCATCCCCAAAAATTGAACCAAGTTCATCCATGCATTGCTGTTGAGTTAGTCCACGTCGAAAGTTGTCGCGCGAAAATGCCCACGGTTCAACTCCATAACTTGGCCGAAACAAAATATTATAACTTAGTGTAAACAGCACAAAACGCGCTCAAATTTTGCAACGGAACCTCAAAATAGTCAAACTTTACGATAGTGGTGTCAGTTGCTAGATTGCTACACTAGTATTTCCAAATCCCGAAATATAAAAGGCATCCCTCGTATAACAGTAAAGCAACGAGTTCAAAAGAGAAGTATCTATCACTTGATATCTGTTATATTATACCATCAGGAGTATTTGGCATTTGGCCAAAAGCCGGCCCGCGACACGCGCCGGAGAACCCTCTATATTCTTAGACGCGAACCAATTGGAGTCAAGTCTGAGATGAGTTGGACATAGGGCAAGGAGAACAGATCACATGTAAGCTCAGCGGAACTCCGCCTACGGTCCGAAACATGCACGCGAGTGGGCGGTGCCATCTACAAAACTGGTTAATTTAGTGTCGTAACATCACAGACGCTGAAAAAATGAGGAGAGGTGAGAATTGGGTTAACAACTGAAACATACTCCCCTAGTGAGCGAAGCATCCCCACGGTGGGTTGTGCTATCTACACCAATTCATAAATCGGTTCTAACATAGCCCATGGGCCGAATTCTTGAGGGGTGGAGCTCAGCGTATGGAATTCATAAGTTCTGTTTTGAGCCTTCTTCGCCTCAGTGTGCGCAGCCTAACTGGTTCGGAATAGTTGAAAATTCCGAGACGACTGAGCAAGGAAGCCGCAAGTGCCGCAACCTTGCTTTGAGTGACTGCAACGTTGTGATACGTCCTGACCCGTACCCGTCGTAGTGTTCCCCTTTCAAGATGGATACTTTACCATGGTAAATTATCGCGAAAGTAGTTATTATCGATTCCAGTAGCCGAGTTCAAACCACTCGAGCCACTGCAAGCAATCCGATCTTGGGTGGGCTCATTCTTCGGATGCTTACATTGCCGTGAGCACTTCCTCAAAATGACCACAAGCACATTCTCGATGGAATCGCAGGTATGTTAAATCCCTCTAAATCCCCCATTACGTAGTTTTGTGGTGGGCAGTGATATTCTGAACCACTGCATTAGCTGAGATCTGAGCAATTGAAGTTCTTTCCATGAGTGATGTAGCGGCTAAATATTGAAAAAGCGTGTCTAGATCATAAGAAAATGCTGTAATAAGTCAACTGGTCAAATCCAAACTCACTTTCGGCAGGAACGTTAAGCATTACGGTACCAGATTACCGTGGCGTATGAAACTCCGATTAGCGATTTTTCCCAAAAATTCTATCTATGCTCTAAGGAGCAGTCAAGATTAGAGATTAGGCGATTTCATAGAACCGAGTTAAATTCGGTAGCGGACAGTGAAAAGAGTTCGATTAGTGAGAGCTATCGTGAAAAGCCCTCTACAAAGTGCGGTCGGTGTCACCGCTTTTGTTCCGTTGTTTTGTGCCGTTGTCGAATGTTTTTGAAAATTTCGCTCTCATTGGCTGCTTTCATAGTCCGCCGGCCGGCCGGCGGACTATGAAAACAGCCATTCACTTTCGGAAACATATGTTTTGTGTTAGGTTTTTTACTGTGTGAGGTGAAATTTTCTGCTTGGTACCTGAAGTATGCAGAAAAATATTGAATGTAAATGAACCACGAGTCGTCAAATTCGGGAATAAAGAAAATAAAATAACTTGTGAACAAATGGAGTTGGGGTTGCTTATTTCGTTGTCGTTCAAGACGAAACGCAATATTATCGGTCAGCACTACCTGCATTGTTCCACGGGGCGGACAGCCTGTCGGTCATCATTGGCCGACATCGTCGTCAACGTGTTCAGACCGATATTTGGAACACCTTATGATGGATCATCCATTCTAAACTACCATTCTACGGGAAAGTCCTTCAGTCTCACGGCCATCATAATCGAGAGTGTTTTGAACAGCAAGAAACAACACAGAACTTGAATCCGTAAACAACAAGGAAAGCACGAAAAAAACTTCACCTTTTCCCAAACTGTCTGGTACTAAGTTGTTCTCATGATATTAATGTCTGACACGTATACCAGATACTCGATGATGTCATGTTTTTCAATCTTGACAGTATTATAAGCTGCTGCACTCGCTGGAGATGCGAGCCACCTACTTCTCTTAATATCTTTAAAATCAATAGTTTACAAGCAAAAGTAGAAGAAAGATCCCAAATCGTAGAGTATGGATTCTGGTCTATTTTGGACGGTCCATAAGTGATCTACTGGTCATTTTACGTTTTACGTACACTATATATCTGGATTCTTTGGGATATTCAGGCTAATACCTACAGGCTTGTGTTGTAATTATTCTGCGTCGACATCGTAACGTGATCATATACTGTCAAATCATTGGTCATGTACTAATGAGCTTCGGACCTCTTATGAAATACCTGAAGGACTAGACTCCGATATGGATTGGTTATGTGTTTTTTATATTGACCTACACTGTTTTGAGTGGCCTTTCTGCAACCAGGCAACTATGACACCGTGTAATCTACTGCCATGCAACGCGAGGGTAATCACTTCCAAAGGATACTAGTTCGATTGGCCTTCTGGGGTTATGCACTAACCTTCGGCAATGAAGCGAAACCGTTATGAATGAAGTTCTGCGTGCATTAAGTTCTATTCGGAGTAATGCTCATATCATAAAGTATTACATCGCAGAAACAGCGTTTATTTCAGCGATGATCACTTTTATCACTGGCTGAAAAATATTTATTTAGGTTCGCAAGCCGGAAGATATATTCTTGTACCTATGGCGAGCACACAATATCGTTAATGCGCGTTTGCAAGGACGTGAAACTGAGGATCCACAGTTCCCGAAAGTGCAGTTTCCTGCCTCTTTCCTTTGCTCGGATTGCACAGCAAACGGCCTTTTTAATGAGAAAAAAACGGAAGGGTTTCTCATAAATTACTTTTCTTCGATTAAACCATTTCAGTCATCTAGATTTCTACTAATATAGTTCGATTGTTGGTTGGACCTAATGTATGTTGCAATGGAGGGAATGAATGCTCTTGAATGGTTCCGATAGTGAATTAGCCGATATTTTACAACAAGTCACAGCTTCGAATCCAACACGAATCTTCCAGAGCTCTCGCCTGAATTACTCATGGTATTTATTGTCATCATCGCTTAGTTATTTCAGAGCATACGGCGGATTTCCTCAACTGGTTTCCTTTCTTGTCCTTTCATGTAATAAAAATTGCCTTACTTCGGTTTCGTATTTCTGCAAACTCCTTTTTTCACTTGAATCTGTGTTCCGAACTTGCTAAACGGTTCTGAGAACAAAGTTACGGGACTAGTTCCTCCCTAGGTTATACCGCTGTCCGATTAAATTGCCGAGCAGAGGCAAGCTCTCAGCTGTGCAACAATGGCGCAGCTGGCGGGATCGAGGATCGGTGGGCGTGACATCGTGTTTCGTTTACTTGATGCATGCGCTCTTTTTTTTTCCATGAAATGAATGCATCCTGAAGGCTTGCAAAACGTTTTGTAGCTTGATATCGGCCCGAGAAGTAGTAATCCAATGAAAAATTTTCCGCCATCGACCAAATACAGGCTGCGCCATAATTATGGTAAAAAAGTCATTGTCGTGCAGAAGACGCAATTCATATTGATACATAGTGAGTTCATGTGGACTGAATATTACTATGCATCGTACAGCAAAACAAAGGCCCACTCACCTGTTATAACCGTTTCCTGTACTAATTATAGCTCAACAACGCTTCGATCACCTGTCGACGGCGGTATGGAGAGTATCTTGAAAAAAATTCAAGCCTAGAGTTTTTCAGCGGTTTCGTAAGAACAGCAGCAGTGGCGTGTCTTGAATGGAAGGCTTCCGTTTCCAATTCGAACTACTACCAACCAGTTGAACTGCGGTCCCAGAAATTCATTAGCAAGATGAAACCAAAAATAAAATCGCGAACACTTGCACAGCACCAATCTTGATTTTTACCGTTCATGAGCAAATGCGCCGTGCTTTCCGAACCGTATAACTGAAATAATCCTTGACTGCGAGGAGCACCTTCTCAGAAGTGCCGCTCATAAACATGTGCCGATTGGGTGTTACATTTTTCTCTACAGAAATGAGCACTATCTTTCCGATGGCACGCATTCCAGCTGAAACTACCATGAAAGAGAGATAATTGTTGCAGAAACGATGTGAACCCTCTCATCGGCTTCGGCAGTTGTAGCGAAAATCATAGGTATACTCTGTAACCTGAACATTTTTTACTCGTTAAATATTTCGTCGTGCCACGCTTCAGTAGGGCACGGCATTTTTCTTCCTCTCAGACTTTTTCTTTCCAAAAAGCTTCCGCGGCTATCGAAATCTTGTTGGATACAGTCGTTTCTACTTGGGGGAGACCCTTCTCATTGAAGTCAAACATGTATTCAACTCAGCAGCCATCTTACTCGTGCTTTTGCAGTCTCGTGGAGCAAGAATTTTGGAGCAATTGTATTCGGACAAGGGGTTGCAACTAAAACAGATGACCGTCTTGAGCTTTCGTCGACGTGCTCACGCATCGCGATTCTACAGACTGTCATGTGGGAAAAGTCGAAACGACGAGCGATCTCGAAAAGAATTCACCAATCGCAAGTAAAGAGGGAACGGCTGCCGTATCATTACGAAGCTTAACCGTTTTTCGTAAACTGGCCGCTTTCGAACACCAAAGCAGACATGTGAGCTAGGGTATGTTATCAACATAATAGAAAGTGCAGATTTGGAAAATCCTTTCCAACAAGGAAATTGCGGACTTCTGCAAAATTGTTACCATATTTATGGCACACCCTGTGGATAGATCTCTCTGTCCCGCACACTCAAGGTGCGATGTCGAAAATTTCGGCAACATCGTACATTGACGGTAAAGGGCGGTCGGATGACTCATCTGGCCATAGCCCTCTTTGAAAGGAATAAGATCCTCGGTCGGTTGTGTTGCCCAGGTTGAGTGTTCACCTTGTTCTATACATGTTGATAATTATTTAGTGATTGGTGCATTCATGCTCCATTCATATCTTAGGTACATGGCTGCCTCTTCCCGTTTTCATGTAGTTTCGGCTTTGCTTTTTGGCTTGACGGATATTTCTCTTTTTTTCTTCTATCCTTGTCTGCTTCAGCTAGTCACAGGAATGTTGCACTGCCTTCTTAGATTGTTGCATGCTGTAGCTGGTGCTTGTAAAATCTTGTATTTCTTTTCTTCATTTTTGCTTCGCTGTGTTTGAGCTTACTAGTACATCTGTCTTAGTGCTTTGGTGAACCATGAGTGCAGTATATAAATAAATAAATAAATAAATATCCGAGAAATGCTCTCGCACAATCGAAGCGCTGGTACAAGTCAACTGACCTCCAGAAAAATACGGTGGACAATAGTTGATCAATTTATTTATCTCTATGGATCCTGAATCAGCACTCGAAAGTACATTTAGCAATATATTAGGTTGTTCGGAAAGGAATGCGCGTTTGAGCTCAGAAAATTTTTTATTACAAAAACGAAACTAGACAAGATCAATTCAAAAGATATTCTTCACTACTATCGATGACTTGTTGATTACGCTTACGCGAAGAATGGATTCTTCTTCCGAAGAACTCGCGCGGACGGCTCAAAGTAGTTGGACACCCTGTGTTGGACTTTTTCGCGGTCTCTTGGCCAAGGAGTGCTGCATTGACCGGAACAAATGGTAGTCGGAGGGTGCGAGATCTGGGCTGTATGGCGGATGAGGCAGTATTTCCCAGCCCAATTCCTCAATTTTTTTCCAAGGTGTTTCGCATCATGTGGACGAGCTTTGTAGAGGAGGAATTTTGTCGATGTCGTTTCGACACCTCGACGACGCATTGCCTGATCCACGCGTTCTAATTGGTCTTCGTAAATGTCAGCCGTAACCGTTTTACCCATATTCAGGACTTCAAACTACACCTAACCTTTGCTGTTCCACCAAACACAGAGCAGCACCTTTCTGCCGTGTATATCCGTTTTCGGAGTGGGTTTTGGAGTGTCACCGGCGTCTAACCACTGTCTTTTTCGTGACGTGTTGTCAAAACAGATCCATTTTCTATCAGAAGTGACAATAGAGTTGAAAAAACCACTGTTCTTTGAGCGACAATGAAGGATTCCTGCCATTGCCACTCATGTTGCGTTGTTGGCGTCGCTCAGCTGGTGCGGCACCTATTTTTCGAACCTGTTCCTCTTCCCAATCGCCAGCAAATGCTCATGGATGGTAGAATTTGAGCAGCCAAAATGTACTGCCAGTTTTCGGGTAGTTTGGTGTGGATCCGAATTGATGACGTCCTTCAACACTTGGTTATCTACGACTTGAGGCCGACTTCCATGTTCTTCGTCCTCCAAGCTTTCATTACCTTTTCTGAAACCATCGTCGACACTGGCTTTCTGACAGGGCTTCATTGCCGAATACTTCAGAGGTGGTACGATGAGATTCAGCAGCCGATTTTCCTTGCTTGAAATTGTACCACATGGAAGCCCGCAAGAGGAACTTTTGGTCAAGCACCTCTTAAACTTTTTTTCTCAGAGAAAACAAAGTAGACTCAGCCAAAAATATATCAAAAAACGCGCAGTGAAAATCTCTTTCTGATAGACAAAACTTTTTAAAAAATCTTCCATTGTAGTGGAGAAATGAATGGATAAAACCAACGCGCATTCCTTTCCGAACAACCTAATAGATCTCATTTTAAAGCTAAGCATTTAAACCCAAGACACTGTCAAGAGACAATTCTGATAGATTCATAGATCAGCGACGGGCTTATTGTGTTAAACTATTGCCTACTTGTCATCATTACTATGTGGGCCACGAAACTTCTGGTAAGGCAGAGCGCCTATACAGTTCCCGGGTCACACTAGAGCAATATCTGCTTTCCAAAAAAGCGTTTTGCTGTATTCAGTGTTTGTTGGGTTCATGACCTAGTCGTGCACCAGCTCGACCCATTACCCTTCGGTTGGCGCGCAAGATCCTTAGCAACCTATCGGCATCTGACAATCGTCTCAAACGTAGAGCGAACACTGCACTATGGGAAGAGGCGGTGGAGACAGGCGGGTAGAGTGTTCCTTGCTCTACATTTTCAGGCCACAGACAGAAGGAAGCTTAGGATATACGCTTGTTTGTTAGTGACGAAGAAGGGTAATCTATCGTCATTCCTTGAGATAAAGCTATAACACAGTGAAATCTTCAAAACAAAGCACTATACTGCATAGCTACGAATCACGAATATGGACTGTACAAAAAACTGAATGAAGTCTGGTGTTGGTTGAAGACCGTTGCTCTCCACAATCAGTTGCTTGAAGATTTGTCTACTTTTGGGTCCTTATCGGTTTTGCATATCCTTAACAAGATCCACAAGCTTGCCGCTCCAGACTTGTGTTCGAGTAGGTGTCAGTGTTCAGGGCCAGGCCCATTTTCAGTGGTGTCGGGAGACGTACTCATAAAATTCCATGATAACTCCCGTCATTGTAAGACAACTCCTCAGCACATTCACGCTCACCAAACTATGCTCTCAAAAACTGTTGCATGCAGAGCTCAAAACGTTGTAGTAAAAACTTTTAATATTTTTCCTTGTGCCACTGTGTCGAATGAAGCCGCTCTGCAGACCCTAAACAAATTGCTCACTGATCATGTACATACTCTTAATATGTGCCGTTTCTCCATATCACAGGTAATGACTGTTTTGAGAATTGCTTGTCTTACAGGTGTTCGGGCGATCGCTAGACATATGAGGGGTTTGTCTATGGACCAGGCCAACGACTATAACCTGTACTGGCAACAGCATGACTGCAAAAATTGAGCAAAATACTCCATAGCCGCTATATTGACGACTGCCTCGCGAAATCCTCCACCCGAGAAGACTTGGACGTGTTCGACATTTGTGCTTTATTACGCTCTGAGGCGCGCTAAACTCACCGTAGATCATATCATTAAAGAAGGATCAAGCTGTAATAATGTTAGATGACGAAGCAAAAA